GGGGGGGGGGCGCAAGTGTTGTCTGGAACACATCGCGTCTCAGTTTCAACACCGATTTATTTTCAAAATGTGAAGAAATATAACAAGCGGACTAGTTAAGTTTAGCTCGTTTCGTCTTTTCGTCTTTCATCACCGGATATTGTTTTTTCCGTCCAATTTTTTGCGCAGAGCTGATTTGCTTTGGTTTCGGATTGGTTTTGAGTGACACAGAATCTACAGTCAGAACCTTTTTGGCCAATTTTAAAGCACTCGGCATTGTGTTGGTCTTTGGAGCTATGTGGTTTGCAGTTTTCGCGGAGCTCGAATTTTCCGCTAATATCGTCTGACGACGTAGTTGGTCACGCAAAGCTTTTTCCCGTCTCTTGGCTTGACGAGCTTTTTTCCGTTCATTTTTCATACGCTTCTTTTCCTCTCGAGAAATGGTATCCATAAATGGGCTTTAAAAAGGAAAGATAACAGGTGACGTTGTTCAGGAATGACGAGGTGACATAGTTGAATAGAAAAATGACCGAAGCATCAAACCGCATGTAGTACCTAGACCTAAAACCACGCGAAAACGAAACGATTTTAGTCCCATCCCTGAAGCATTATACGGGGTTGTTCCCTATTGAACGGCTAAGTTCAGCTTTCAGAACCATTAGCTGTGTACTCTATGTTGACCATAAAGGACCATGTTCTTTTCTCATCACAAAAAATAGGAATAATACCTATAATCCTTTCAGATTCTCTTTTACCTTGTATGCATTTCGAGTTTGGCGGCGATCGGTGAGTTTCATTCCACTGTATTACGGTGTACGATGAACTATGCAGTTTTTTGACTGCTTATTTGGATAAGAGCACAAGATGAGAATGTTGATAACAGTCCGACAAAATACAAAATTTATATATACTAGGGGGTGCAAGAGCGCCACTGCTCCCCATAATTCGGCGACATAAGCTGATTTCTGTAACCACTGATACTGATGATCCCGGGAGCCGAATGGAACCGGTATGAGGGAGATCCGTGGTGAGTTTCCAAACCCACATGCCAGGTGTGAGTATGACCGCTGTTGGTTGTTTCCACGAATAACCTGCCTCGGCGACTATCGTGCTTCGTGGCAACGTACATAGAGACATGCGTAATAACTGCCCCAAACAACGCAGTTTTTAAAAATGGGCCACTTGTTGTAGTGGATGCCCACGATCACCTAAAATCATGTGCCTAACCTCAGCATTGCTGGCCGCGGCGTATACAGCGATGTTCCTGCGCACCGTATAGCAAAATACTCTGAGGAGAACTTCACTGATCGTCGAGAAACTCCCAATGCATACCAAGTTTGTTGTACGATGTAAGGTGGACAGATATTGAGCCCATTTGATGGAACGGGTGGGGGAAAAATGAATCTCTACGGTCAACACAAAGAATACACAATCTAACTGTGCGTGCATACCATTTCAAGCATTCTGGTGTAGTAAGAAATGACAAGAACGCCACTGCTGTCGGTTTGCTGCCAAATCCGCCCCGCGGGGTGATAATTTGGTGACGTTACCACCGCTCGGAATACAGATTACAAACCCGTTCGCTCCATCCAACATAGGCTAAAATATGTACACACTGATAATCGCAAACTTCTAGTCGATGGATACCTTTTATTCGCAAACTTCATATCTCACCTCGATAAAGGAATATATATGCAAGACCTTTTAACTTCAGTGAAACTTCGCAACTAAGCCAAAGGTGTATCAGTACTGTATGCGCCACCCGAGTCTGGTAAATGCGGGCGGTAATCTCGTTTGATGCACTACCGTCGTTGGTCACACAGATACCCAAGTACGAGAAGCAGTCATTTTCAGCTAATTCCTGCTGAATGGAACTTGGCTACACCTAGTCTTGCAGCATCACCTTGCACTTTGAAGGTGCCAAGTACACATTGAATGTGGTAACAACACTTGTTAGTCTATCACGTGCGTCTTGTGTGTCGTTCATACGGTATTTAAACACCGACACTATTTCTATCCTGTTCCCGTAATCGCGAAGTTACTGCGCTGCTTAGAAACACTGGGCGAACTGCTGCGGTGTACGCTGGGCCCCTTACGGACAACCGGATGGCGCGACGGCCCCGCAAATTTCTAAAGTTGGCAAATGCCAATAGAGACCCCTGTACATGTGCGACGTCCAAATGCAAAGTGCTTGTACAAGATTAGTAGGAGACTGTGCCTGCACTCACTCTCTATGGTAATCAGCTGGAAATGGTTAAGAGTACCTCGGGAGCTTAAAAATAGATGGTGCTGGTGTTGGGGAGCAGATTACATCACGAAAGCTAGAGTAGCTTTCGCCAACCTGCGATACCTGTGGCGCCGCCACTATATACGACTCGCACTTTAAGGAAAGGAAGGGTGAGTAGTGCCGCCGCTCGTAGTGTTCTGCTTTTCGGTTGCGAGGCCTGCAAAATATCATATTTGGTTTTGTGCTCCGGATGTGTCGAACTGCAAAACTACACCAGAAAGTTACACGGAGGTTAACGGGTTCGTAGTACTGACTAAACTGTGGTTGTCGTTTTTGGACACAAAATTAGCCATATGTGCGTTTACGACAAGGCGACTTTCGAACATATGAATCACTGAATCTTCCCTGATAATCTAGGTGATTCGATGAAATAAACAGTCTTGCATTAGGCTGCTACATGTCATAAAAACGATAACAACTTCCACTCTCCACAGACGAAAGCCAGGTCAATACATACAATGTACACGACGAGCTGAAACGGGAAAATGGTGCACCAATCTGCTAGGGTGGTCGATCACAAACTGAACCGAACTAATTAACAGATATGAAACAACGCCGGTTATCTTTTATTATAATTACCGACAGTAGTGTACCCCCTCATCGGTTTGCTACGACCATCGAGTGCTTTTGGCAGAATACTTTTTTATTGTTAATCAACACAATAAAAGACTTCATCTAGCTGGTTTCTGAGTACAAGAGAGAATCACTGAAAGAAACTGAACACAGAGTCGAAGTTTGGACATACCCGCCGGATTTCTGTTTGAAGGATTCGATAAACGTGACAAAACGTCTGGCCGCTCGTCTTACTGGTTTCAAGGAGGACGGAAGTTGACGCAAACCATTCAGCGTTTCCGGAACAACCGTCTTGAGAACACAAAAGTATGAAACAAAGAAGAACTGAGTGAAAGATGTAGTTGATGAAAAAACAGGGTGAAGAGATCTTTGCTAACTCGACTACTTCGGAATCGATTGAGGGTTGGAGCGGTATCTTTGTCTACAACTGAGGTGTGGACTGCATGTTCCGAATTTTTTCTCTACAGTTGAAATGAACACATCCTAATGGGCGCAAAACTGACAGCATTTCTAAGACACGGAGGAGCTCTTATATTGCTAAAACTGATCAACAGTCGGTCTGAAAAACAACCGGTAAAGATCCACTTTACTGAATCTATAGAATCATCTCCATGCGGGAAGAAATCAATAGCAATCTTGATTAATTGCGGAAAATATTGTCCGTGATTGGTGCACAAACCACCCTATTGATTTAAAGGAACTGCAGATAATCTTTTAA